TTACTGAGGCCTTTAGCCCTTGCGGACCAGGCGCTCCTCAGCAGCCAGGAATGGTGGCTCATCATACCTCTCCTGTATGAGGGCAAGACCAGCGGACTCATGGGCAGAGTGCTGCCGATGGGAACATGGTCAGGGTGGCCATTAGAGATGAGACCTGCAATTGTGTGCACGTAGAGAGGGGCTCAAGCACTCTGCTGCTACTTCCCCCGTTTGAAAGCCAGAAAAACAGGCGAGTTGGCTGCGATGAAGCCCTGCACCCACGTTTTATGCTACAGGAAGGGATGTGATTGCTGTAATTTGCGCACAGTTCACTTGCATAAACCTATTTCCTCAGGCTTCACAGAGGAGAAGTCAATGTCACCTAGCCATGTGGAAGATAATCACCCTGGACATAAACTCAAGATGTCCAGGCAAGTCAATAGCACTACTGTTCAGCTCCTGCTGTGCACCTCCACGAAGCTAAAACACAGAGCAAATTGTCTACAAAACTCTCTTCCAGTTGTCCTCTGAAGGAGTGCAAACCTCCACCCTCCAAGTAACCAGTATGTCCCTGCAACATCTGTATAGGTGGGGAATAACACCCATTTAATCAAATGAATATTAAAGCAGTTTAGCTAACAAGTGAAATACAGGAGAGAAGATGTGCACAAAGCTCCAGAAAACAATCACATCAGAGCCAGCATTAGCAGACAGGAACACAGAACCCCTGTTCTCTGCTCAGCTCACCATCAGTTTTAAATCCTCTCCAGAGGAGCATGGACACAGCTGACACCCATGCTGCAGTAAGACTGTGAACTCAGCCACTGCCTGATTCAGATCACCTGATAATCCATTGCATCTTCTAAGAGCTTGCTAAGTTTCATTAATTGCAACAGTATCACTGTTGACATAGGTAAAAACTTGCAAGTTTGCCCCTCTGATTGCTTGTGTCAATTGCTGTTTATCAATGCAATGCAGGTCTTTGCATTCCAGCCCTGACTTCAGAGTAAATCACATCTGCTCTCACAGAAGTTTCAGCACTGACCTTGGGATCATGGTGCATGGTCTTCAGCCTAAAGTTCTGCTATTTTTCTTATGAACACACCATATGCATTGGCTTTATCTTTGCATTAAAGTATTTCCCTCTGCATGGGTTACAAGAATCCATTATATTCCACTGGAGAACAAATATGCATCCTAGATGAAGTAGAAAGACTTCCTTATTCAGACAAACACCACTTTCAGCTTCACAGAAAAACTGTACAAGCGTAAGTAATTTGGTGAGCAGCTACAGCTGGCATCACCCCCATTGTGAGGGCCAGATCCCTGGCCTGAGAAACACACAGTCCACAGACGCAATGAGTGACAAACAGAACAACAATCCTGCTCATGACAGTAACATCCCAGTGGTGTCCACAGGAATGTTGCCAGGACATTACAACACATGTTGAGTAACAGACACGACATTTTGCATGGACTGTACCGGAGGAGCATTACCTTCAGAGCATTTACCACTGAGTCAGACTGCTGAGAGGCTGAGCCATGTCCAGTGATGCTAGCTGGCTCGTTTGCAGAGCAGTAACTCCCCTCCGCCCCTCCTGGCATCCTAATGGGGTCCTTCGCAAAAAATTAAAAACTATTTAATAAAGAAAAGGATTGGTAACTAGTTAAAACAGATGTCAATTATTTATTGCTCTTTTTAAAAAGGCTGAGAAGCACTGAAGGCATGTTTTACTCCGAAATCTCCCTCCTTCTGTGCCACCGTAACCAAGATCCACATGAGCCAGCTCAAGTGCTACTTCCGAGTGTCACCCAAACACTCTGGCCCTCAAGGGTGTCTATCTGGAAAATCAGGACATATTAATAAAATTTCTTATGCATGTACGTTGCCTCACGAAAGTGCTGCAAGGTTCAGAGAGATTATTTCAACTCCAGGGGAAGGTTTTGAGAATGTCAAATTTTATCACAATGATTCTGGAGGTTGTTCCTTCAACAAAATTCACATTTTTAAATGTTGCTGCAAGGTCTGCAACACAAGCTCAGCTGCAGCTGACCAGGGAAGGAGCTGGGAGCTCCAGGCTGCCAACTCCTTCTTTGCCTCTGGCTGCTCTGCTGCAAGGGCATGTACCCCTGCTTGCCTGCGAGATGTCAATTTATACCCTATAGTGACAACCTTGGGGGCTTTTTCCTCCCAGTGAACACCTGGAAGGGTTCTTCAGGACACTGCCAAACAAATGCAAGCTACTTCAATTCTTACAGCTCAGTCATCTCAAACTTTGCAGGATGTAAAGCATCATCTGGAGCAACTGCAGTGCCGAGGCAACCTAAGTAAGCAGCCTGCTTTGCAGGAGGGCTAAAAATACCCCTGCTGCACTCATGGACAGCAATGTGATAGCTTTAGCAACAGAGATGGCCTGAGTAGATGCTTCCAAGGTGCTTTCAACCTGACCTGCTCTTCACTGTCATTCTTCATGCAGAATTTTGTTTTTAAAAAAATGAGAACTATAAAGAAGAAAAACATTCCAAAGACTGAGAGAGGAAAAGTTCATTTCTAACAGAGAATGTGTGGAAAATGCATTTCTGAACAAAAAATAATGACAGTGGAAAGACCCTCTGATCAGAATCAGTGCCCCGATGTGCACTAATTTGCCCTGCTGAGCAAGCACATAGCACGTTGCAGTCTTTTTCGAGGTGTCTATAATCTAAACAATAGGAAAGATGAAAGTGGGTGTGGGAGAAAAAGGGCACAGAGAGATGACATGAAGCTGAACTTCACAGATCCAGTCTACCTGAAAATGTTTGACAAGTACCTTGGTCCAAAGCAGGTTTATATGCTGTGCATGACTTCGTCAGGATACGCCCAGGCCTTTGTAACCAACACTGCGTGGCTCACAGCAGTGCCCAAGTGGCAAAATGCAGACAGAACCCTCACAGCTACTGAGTGTTAGACTCAATCCCAGCAATCGTCTGCACCCAGACTGCAGGACTGAACCTCGTATGTTAAAAAAAACAACCCTGAAAGCAATTAAAAAAAATGAGAATGCTGCACATGCTAAGCGCATGGAACAGGTACCCTGAGTCTGAATACCAAACCCTATTTGGTGCATGAACTTGTCTTTCAGTGCCGCCCTCCTGCCAAGCAATGGGTGCAGTGCAAACCGCAACAGCGGGCACTGATGGGTCTCACAACTAGGCTGCAATACCAGAACACGCTTAGGGCAGCGTGCAGTGTATCATCCTACAATTCTCCACAGCCATGACTATTATCAATTTGCTGCAATGTATGGAGGGAGATTTAGGACATTTTTCTTTGGGAAGGATTTATAGATCTGTTAGTGACTGGGCAGACTTAATGCTACACTTTGGGAAAGGAAATGAAAGAGGAAGGAAAAGGGATAATAAAGCAGATTGGAGTAATTCTGGTTTAAGATAAATTCCCTCAGTCAGCTTTTGTTTTTTTTACAAGGCACGCTATTGTTTCTTTACTGACTCCTGGGCCAGAACATATTTTTGTCAGTTTTGAATAGTAAAATACAAATACTACTATTAAAAGGCTGGGAAAACTAGTACAGATGGTAAATCTAAAGCCTCCTAAATATGAGAAAATCCAAAAGCCGCGCAAATTGTGCTGCTGTCAGAGCTTAGGCCTTCCTCCAGGCAGCTGTCCTCCACAGCCTCGTCTGTGCCATATGCAGCACATTTCTGTCTCCCTTCACGAGAATGAGAAACCTGTTGTGAACACAGTGCTTTAAGCAGACAGCATTCTCAACACATGTCGGTAGGAGACTGAAAATTCGTATTTCCCCTGCGGACAGCCTTCTGCCTTCTCCCTCTGTCCCTGATAAGACACATAAGCTTTTCTTGAAAAATAAGGCAGGTTTTGCAGCCCTGGAGCCTCATCCTCCAGCTCAGGGACTTCTCATCTCAGGTGAGGCCACTCCACAGAGGCAGCACAGTTTCTGCCTTCTTTGAAATAGGCTTATTCCAGCAGATGATGGGGAGGGGACCAGCCTGAACGTGGGTGTCCTGTTCCTCAGCAAGTTCTGTGAGCCTGTAGACACTTCAGCGCTCCTGACTGTATTATGAGTTTCTGAGGCAGTGAAGCAAAACAACAGGAAAAGGCACTTTGCCAAACGGGTGATGTCTGAAAACAAGTTGCCTTAGGAAACTAGGAAAGTTTCAGCCCTATCATCACAGTTTCTGCTTGCAGTGGGGAGCATGGCAATGTTTATCCTTCCACCAAAACTTGACCTGAGTTTCCCTGCACTAAGTCCCTTCTCTGCCACTGCCCAACTCAGATTATAACTGGATCCTGAGCAGGACCTTGAGAATGGCAGGAGAAGTCCTGTTCCCTTCCTCCTCTAGCTCCACACATAACACTTGCATTCAGGCACTCAACGTAGGCATCTCATGTATCCACATGTTTTGGACAGATCTTCTATTATTCAGTGACAAAGCTGAGGAAGTGGTACCAAATCAGGCAGAAGGGAGCAAGTCATGGCTCCATAGTGCTGAAATCATAGAATCATGGAATCATAGAATGCTTTGGGTTGGAAGAGACCTTTAGAGGTCATCTAGCCCAACCCCCCTGCAGTGAGCAGGGATATCTTCAACTAGATCAGGTTGCTCAGAGCCCCGTCCAACCTGGCCTTGAATGCTTCCAGGGATGGCGCCTCCACTACTTCTCTGGGCAATCTGTTCCAGTGTTTCACCACCCTCACTGTAAAAAATTTCTTCCTCATATCTAGTCTAAATCTACCCTCTCTTAGTTTAAAGCCATTGCTCCTTGTCCAGGCTGAACAGCCCCAACTCTCTCAGTCTGTCCTTGTAGGAGAGGTGCTCCAGCCCTCGGATCATCTTTGTGGCCCTTCTCTGGGCCCGCTCCGACAGGTCCATGTCCTTCTTGTGCTGAGGGCTCCGGAGCTGGACACACAACTCCAGGTGAGGTCTCACCAGAGCAGAGGGGCAGAATCACCTCCCTCAACCAACTGGCCATGCTTCTCTTGATGCAGCCCAGGATACGGTTCGCCTGCTGGGCTGCAAGTGCACATTGGTGGCTCATGTCAAGCTTTTCACCCACCAGTACCCCCAAGTCCTTCTTGGCAGGGCTGCTCTCAATCCCCTTATCCCTAGCCTGTATTGATACCAGGGGTGCCCCAACCCAGGTGCAGCACCTTGCACTTTGCCTTGTTGAACCTCATGAGGTTCACACACAGGCCCATTTGTCAAGTTTGTCCAGGTCCCTCCGGGACCAATTCTTGTATTGACTTTAAACATCTTGAGTCAGTTTGAATAAACAGTGTGGCACAACATCAACATCTGAGAAAGAACTGACTTTTTTGCTCATCCTACGCTGCCAATCTTCCCTACTCCCTGCCTAGCCCTTGTGCCTAAGCTACAGCATGGTTTGCACATTGACTCCTCTGAGTCTAATCTATACTCTGCGGATTATACTGCTGCAGAAAGTGTATTATCTGAAGCAGGTAAAACCCACACAATATCCTGTGTACATTTTGCCACAAAGATAAGAGAGTGCAATCACTAGATGTGCAGACCCCTTTTCCGTTGCAAGACTACAAAACATCTAATGCCAACATGCGACTAGTGAATAGAAAGCACAGGAAATCTGACTCAACCTCATAGTGTCACATAACAAAAAATTAGGTGAATGGAAATTAAGCATCTCCCTCACACTGACTGCAAAATGTCAAGGATACTCAAGCCATTGTCCAATCATGCCAGAGGCAAACCCTGCACAGTATCCTGGGCACGGTCAGAATAAAGACCCTTTCGTAGAAATGGATACTCTTTGACAGAGACAACTAATCATGAGCCTTTCTACTTGAGCCAGTAGAAAACAATTTTTTCAATCCATACTATTGATAAGGACACTCATGAATGAAATCCACTGTAGTGCAAAGCACACTGCATAGCTCAAGTCAGTGGCAGCTCATCTGCCAGCCCCTCCAGAGGAAACACGCCACTTGCTGCCTGACTCACAACCTCCCCACGGCACACAGAGACAGCTGAGGAGGAAAAAACACGGTCCATCTCTGCCCTAGGGACACTTGCAGTCATCTCACCAAAGCTTCTGAGAGAACACGATTTTCCTGTCCACTGGGCACTGCTCTGTTCACTTCCCATTGGAGACCTGCCTCAGCAAATGCACAAGACCTCTCTCTCCAGACACCTTTTATCCCACAGGCAAGTGGTTTACTGGGAAGTATATCCTTCCTGCTGGGTAAGTACCATGCCAGTTCAATCACTACCTGATTTTCAAAGCTTTTTTCTGATTTCCCCAGCCCTCAATTTCCCCATTAGCTCAAAGAAAACACAGGCTGTGTTTGTCAGCTTGTTTCAAACAGGCAGGAGAAAGTAAAAACAGAAAGCAATAAGCTGCAGTAAGTTGCTCTGCTGGATTAGTAACGCACTAAACAAAATGGCAACAATTTTTTTAGGGAACATTCCTGTCAATTAAAGTACACAGTTTTAAAATGCTGTAGTTATTCACCATAATTCCGCTTCTCGAAGACCTTAGTAGAAACCTCTACTTCTGCACATTACTGCTGAAACCCACATAACCTCATAGCATATATGCAGCATACTCAGATTTCCGA